GCTTTATTTTCAATATATCTTGGACTTAGTATAAATTATTTGTCACATAAAAATCCTAGCCAATGATTTTACCTGCAGAGGAAAAGTGGGTAGAGGGGCTGGTGCTGTGGCTGGCCTGAAGCACTGGTTCTAGTCCTGGCTGCTCCTCTTCCGATTCAGCTCTCTGCTATAGCCTGGGAAAGCAGTGGAAGATGGCCCAAGTCCATGAAAGACCTGGAAGAAGTTACTGGCTCCTGGCTTAAGATGGTGCAGCTCTGGCTGCTGCAGCCAACTGGGGAGTGAACCAGCAGATGGAAGACCTCTCTGACTCTACATCTCTCTGTAACTCTTTCAAATAAATAAAATAAATCTTTAAAAAAAAAAGGAGGGTAGAGGCTGGTGAGAGGTTGGCCTTTGATGGATCAAAGACTTGTTTGTGGTGATTCTAAGCAGACTCCAGGACTCAGTGGGTGGGGCTTGAGTTTTGACTCCCCTCCTACTGCCACCAAATTTCTAGGCATGTGATCCTAAGTCACTTGACATCAACACACTGTGCCCCAGTTGCCTCAACAATAATAGGAGATAATAATCTCCCCATTCCTAGGGTATTGTACAGAGTCACTGAGCAAGTATTTATCAAGAAGTTACGACTGCTACATGAGTATGAGCCAAGTGCTCTGGGAAACTGTGTAAGAGGTGGTGCTTGTTTGTGTTTTAGCAAAGATGAACCACAGGAAGATGTGGTGACTTGATAAATGAGGCACCCTATAAGCAAATATTTGTACATAATTCTTTATAAAACCATCCCTGGGTTGTTAGAACCCAAACATAAAGAATATGGAAAGGCCTATTTTGTAAAGAGTTCATAATATTTGAATCCTTTGGACTCTATCGGCTTTAACATAGATATAAACAATGCATTCAGGATGCTTATCCCATTTAAGTATTGTTTAACAAACTTGGAGAAGCAATATATGGTGACTTTTGTATTTTTAAAATTGATTTTACATTTGCCAGGAATCTACTGAATGCAGATCACTTTGCAAGGCTTATGGAAAAGATTGCAAAAATCTTAAAATATGATTGTGCTTAAATAGCTTGTATTCTTATGGGAGAGGCAAAGATACATTCAGAACATAGATCATCCAAGATTGGTGGCGGTGGTGTTGGATACAACTAAAAATAAAGCTTTCTTAGTCTGTGGTTACAAAATATAGCACTGGAGTAATTATAGCTTACAAACCAATTTTAAATTTTATTTATTTATTTACTTCTTTGAGAGACAGAGACAAACACAGATGTGGCCATCCACCCATTCATTCCACAAATGCCCACAACAGCCAGGTCTGGGCCAGGATGAAGCCAGGAAGTGTAAACTCCAATTAAGTCTCCCATATGGGTGACAAGCCCTTGAGCCACTGCCTGCTACCTCCCAGGGCACACATCAGCAGGAAGCTGGAAAAGGGAGCAGAGCTAGAACCAAAACCCAAGGCCTACAATACGGGATGGGACTATCCCAAGTACTGTCTTAACTATTGCCAAGTGCCCCCTCTATCCCCACCCCCCAATCAGCCACTTTTATTTTTTTCCCAAGAGTAAGTGAGAAATAGTGAAGCCTCCTGGGGCCTGGGCAGAAGAGCAGATCTTACAGAAGAAGCTGCTCTTAAATTCCAGCTGATGGTGTGGCAGTACTAAAGCATCTAGTTGGCTGGTCTTTGAAAAGTAGGATAAATAACAGCACTGTTTCTTTGGTGTATGCTTTGAGTTTCAGAGGTTTATGGTTTTCCAGCTCTTGTCTTCACTGTTGAGGAACAGTTTTGCTATTGTTGCTGTTGTTATTTTCATGCAAATTGTTGAACTCTTCACTTGGTATAGAGTTGGTCTTCTGTGTATAAAGTTAATCAAAAGTGGATCTTAGTGGAGAATGGGAGTGGGGGTGGGAGAGGGAGGAGGAAGAGGGCTGGGAGAGTGGGTGGGAAGCTGGCTATGGTAGGGAGAATCACTGTATTCCTAGAGTTGTACTTGTGAAGTGTATGAAGATTGTGTTCCTTAAATAAAAGGTTTCTTGGGAGGGGGAATAAGTAAAGACACATAATAATTTTTTTTAAAAGTTTATTGTTTTCTAAGAGTTATGAGATTATGCAAATAAATAAATAAATACAGGTCTGAGTATCTCACTTCCCATTTAAAACACTTTAATGTCCTTCAGAACAAAGCCAAGTCCTCAGCAAAGCAGGTACCCTGTCAGCTGTAATGAGTATATGCTTTCAGCTGCAAGCAGCAGGCCATGTAATCAACAGCAGCTTCAACAGGCACTTCCCAAGCCCCAGTGTAGCTGCCAACCACTAGGGCTTCTTATTAAAATGCACATTTGGTTGGAGACCTGGGTGGGGTGGGCTTGAGATTCTACATTTCTGACAAGCCAGCAGGTGATACTCATTCTATTAGTCTAAGGCCTACACCTTCCAAAATAGCAAGAGCTTAAAACAGTTCCATTTTCTCCCCTTCGTATACTAAAAAATCTGAAAGTTGGCCAGACTTGATTCAGAAAATCAGCTGTGTCACTAGCCTGGGACTGTCCAATCAGAGATCAGGGAATGGCAAATGACGCCTTCCAGGCTCAATCTAGCCCAACACCTTTTTATTTTATTTATTTATTTATTTGAAATAAAGCTCTCTTGGAACACAGCAGAGCTCATTGCTCCTTTGTTGCCCATGGCTACCCTCCTGCTGGAACTGCAGAGTTGGGACAGAGTCTACTATTTCCACAAAGCCTAAAGGGCCCACGTTCATCGGACCCTTGCAAGAAAGCACTTGCTTACTCCCAGCTTAGATGTCACTCTTGGCTCTGGATCTGGCATATGTACTGTCCCAAACTCAGAGAGGACTCTGCTGACATGGGGGAAAGGGAGGAAATGGCTAGGTCAGCGAGGCACCTCCTCTCCCTCACATCCTGCTGTCCCCTCACCTGTGACTCATCCTTTAGCTGCGGCAACTATGGCAGCTCCCCAAAGGCATCGTGCTTCACTGTGGCTCCAGAATACGCCAAGCGTGTTTTGAGGACAATGAAATCACTGGAGCTGACTGTGTGCAAAAAGCAATGGGAGAGCCCACAGGCCAGGCAGATAAGGCAGGATGGCTGGGAAGATGGCATCAGGTGCCAAGGTAAGGAGTTTGGGCTCACAGGTCAGTGAGGAGGTGCTGGAAGCCGTACAAGCATAAGATCCACTTACTGTTCTTTACGTCTAACTCAGAACACTGGGCATCACCTGTTTGTTAGGATTGGCATGAATACCACAGACAAGGTGGCCTCAACAACTGAAATTTAACTTATAACAGTTCTGGATGCTAGAAGTTCAGACCCTGACACTGGGAAAGTTGGCTTCTGGTGAGGCCTCTTGTCTGTGTGCAAGCTGAGAAAGAGTTGTCTTTGGTATTTCTTCTTTCTCCAGGAAGGACACCAGTCCTACTGAAATCCTGAAACCCACCCCCAGGATTTCAATGAACCGCAGTTACTTCCCCAAAGGCCCACCCTATCTCCAAGCAGTCACATGGGGTTAGGGCAGGGCACACAATTCAGTTCAAAGCTGCTGGTAGAGAGAGAAAACTAGACAAGGAGACAACTTGAATTCTTGATGAAATAGCAGAATCTGAGAACAGAAGGACTGGACCTAAAGTTTTGGGTTATAGGGAATAGAAAGGAAGGGGAGGGAAGGGGAGGGGAGGGGAGGGGAGGGGAGGGGAGGGGAGGGGAAGGAAGGGAAGGGAAGGGAAGGGAAGGGAAGGTAAGGGAAGGGAAGGGAAGGGAAGGGAAGGGAGAGGCTGTAGAGAAAAAAGTCTTCATAACTACCTGACTACAAGCCAAGATGACAGCTGTGTTTAAAGTCTGGCGATCAGAGAATGGAGCCACAGCAAAGGGGAAAATGAAGATGGAGGAACAGAGTCTTCTCTGGACAAATTTTCGGCTTTGGGATCTGTTTGATCTGAGGTATTGTGAGGTTATGCAGGTGAAAGAGGGAGACTCCACCAAGTTGCAAAAAGTGTGTATCATGAAGCAAGTATTCATGGACTTCACAGATGTCTTGCACTAAAACCAACTTCCCTTTTAATTACATTTTTCCACAAATGTTTTGAAGTTCCTTTACACTTGGAAGACTTTTAATTCATCTTCTCTTAAGTGAATGCTACCTAAAAGACCCTTTATCGAGAAGTTATCAATATTAAACTTTTTGGAAAGGTCATCAAAACTCCATTTAATTATTTGTAAGGGTGATTTTCAGTTTCTTCATTATGTAACCCAAGCCTGCTGGTATGAGATTTAAACCAGGTTCTCACCGGCACCATGGCTCACTAGGCTAATCCTCCACCTGTGGTGGCAGTACTCTGGGTTCTAGTCCTGGTTGGGGCACTGGTTCTGTCCCAGTTGCTCCTCTTCTAGTCCAGCTCTCTGCTGTGGACCAGGAAGGCAGTGGAGGATGGCCCAGGTGCTTGGGCACCTGCACCCGTGTGAGAGACCAGGAGGAAGCACCTGGCTCTTGGCTTCAGATCAGTGTGGCGCTGGCCATAGTGGCCATTTGGGGGTGAACAAATGGTCTCTCTGTCTCTCTCTCTCTCACTGTCTAACTCTGCCTGTCAAAAACAAACAAACAAACAGGTTCTCTTACTCTGCTTGGTGAGCAGGATTCTATCACAACATGTTACTCATTAAATATCCTCTAAAGAAATATTAGGGGACATTCATTCATGCACGCATCCAAGCAATAAATAGACAATAAACAAATTATTCACAAGATCTGGTTCTGAACATGAGATTCAAAGGTATCTGGAAAGGAACTAACTCTAAGCTGTGCTGGAAGTGAGTTTGAGTTCTGATGTGAAACCGCTTACTCATTTTCTCATTTACGCTTTCACTTTCTTCAGTTTTCTTTAAATGTCAGGAAAGAAGATGAGACAGCATTCTGAGAAGGATCGAGATGCACCCTGCAAAACATTTGGATGGAAAGGTAGAGGAGGGAGCCACAAGGTGATTATGCAAAGACTTGAATTAGCAGCCCTGCTCAGCAGGAGCTGGCTCTCTAAGACAGAAAGAGATAAGGCCTAAAGATATGAATGCAAGCACTGCAAAGATCTATAATAATTCTGGCTTGATTTACTTGGCTTATGAAGGTCATCTACTCATGCACCATTGTGAGTATTTATCCCAACTGGCCTGTAGCATAGTCCTTGGAACAAAACAAGGACTTGGAAAAGTGCAAAAGACCTTTAGGAACCTTCCAGCTCTTTCCTATAATTTATCATCCTTATTGCCACTTTAGAATGTTCTTTTAACTTGATGCTGTGAATTCCAAGCACACTTAATGATAAAGTCTTTCTCCCATAGGATACAAGACTTCTTGTGCCACAAGGCTAGCTCTCAGTTGGCTCTGGAGTTTCCTTTCTTGCAGGCTCTGTTTTCCAGTAAAATAACCCTGGCCCAGTGCCTTTGCTTATCTGTATTTTTGAATCAATAAATATTTACTCTCTCCATGTTGGCATACATGGCCTTGAGCTTGGTGTGGACATGAACAAAAATGAATGAGGCTTGGACTTTGCCCTTAACTGTTGAACCCACCAAGAACTAGTGGTTAAGCAGTGAACTCAGAAAGACCTGGGATACAATTCCAGATTTTCCACCTACCAGCTTGGACAAGTTATTTCAATTTTCTAAGTTCTATTATTTCCCCACTAGTGAGCACAATAATAATATCCATCTCATAGGTTCCTTATGAGGATTAATTAAAGAGCAACGTACAGTGGGCAGAAAGCATACAATATAATTTTTAATTTTTTTTAATCTTTTTATTTTATTTTTTGACAGGCAGAGTGGACAGTGAGAGAGAGACACAGATTGAAAGGTCTTCCTTTTCTGTTGGCTCACCCCCCACAATGGCCACTGTGGCTGGCACACCACGCTGATCCGAAGCCAGGAGCCAGGTGCTTCTGGTCTCCATTGCGGGTGCAGGACCCAAGGACTTGGGCCATCCTCCACTGCCCTCCCGGGCCACAGCAGAGAGCTGGACAGGAAGAGGAGTGACCAGGACAGAATCCGGTGCCCCGACAGAAAACATACAATATAATTTAAACTTACTATTATTTCTGTTATTATTATTTCCATAGGGAAGATGATGCTTATAATTTTCCTTCTGAATTCTTCTTCCCATACTTTTTTTTTTTCATTCTGCCTGATAACTGCACAAGAATCTCCAGTTTTCTTTTAAGAGCAGAGGGAAAAACACTCTGAAAAAGATCTGAAATCTAGGCATAACCACGACTGCATATGCACAGGTCAGTGGGAACCGTGTCACCACTCTTATTTAATCTCTCCTATTTTCAACTTCTTACTTCTGACCTTTGAGAATCATTTGTTATAGAAAAAGACAAAGTACACCATTGCATAGCCAATGGTCAGCCACAAGGCATCTACTCAATATTTATTCTGAGGTTTCTAGGTGCCAGGCTCTGAGGGTACAGAGTGGTGGACAAGGCAGCCACAGCCTCTGACCTCATGGAACACACAAGCTCAACAGATGGCACACACACATGCCCCTGGGGAAAGCAGAGGGCTCTGGAGGGGTAGTTGCTATGCTGTGATTACATCCATATAATAATAAAGAATGGGTCTCTAATGGATCAAGGGATAATTTACCAATCAGAACATGGGTTTCAGGTTCAGAAATGAAGATACATGTAGCCACTGATGGCTTCAAATACATTGGATTGGGGACACTAGGAGACAAACAGGTCCTATTCATATAGGGGATGAAAACACATTAGGGAAAAAGAGGATGCAATAAATCAGTGCTTAGAGATAATCCATGGCCTTCAATGATTATGTTAGAATAAAACACTGAAAAGCAGTCATTACGGCTTCCTCATCAAGAATTATTAAAAAACTCAAAAAATATTGAATTCAAGCAAGAAAAAGATAATAGCAGATATTATTAAATTCTATAAAAGTAAGAGTCACAAGCAAATAAACAAAGATATAATGATTTTTAAAGAAATGTTAACAAAGTTAATAAAACTAATAAAAGCAATTAAGGAAACAATGGTAAAAATCACACAAATAACCTATTTCAGAAATTAAAACACAATCATTCCTTAGTAAAAATTATAGCCTTTACTATCCTACTAAAGGAAATGTGTCAAATTCTTAGGAGTAAAATCTGACTACACACATCAAAATCTACCATATTTTGAAAATGAAATTCCCGCAACAAAAACATAACATGAAATAGGAAAACTCCTACATAAACCAAATAAGTTGAATCACATTTTGAAAACTAGAACCAACAAAAAAGTTAATCAAAATTTCTGGTCCATGCTTACAGGTGTATTCCAAACTTCTAGGGAAGAAAAAACAAACATATGTTTCCCAGACCTGTGCAAAGTGGAAATAAGCACACAATATTTTTAAACTTATTTTTGGAAAATGAGAATTACATTGATGATGATGCATGTGTACCAGTATGTGAAACAATTTTTAAAAGCATACCTTTCATAAAGAGATAGAAATATTCTAAGCAAAGGATTATTATAATAAATGAAATCACATAGGAAAACCTAGTAAGTTGATTACAAGCAAGAAACAGTAAAAATACGAGAGTTGTCGAGATTCCCAAAGAAGTTACCCAAGTAGCTGAAAAATGCAAAAAGAAAATCACATGATTGTTTAGATTACATGTTGAAAACATTTAATAAAGTTCAATATCCAGTGGAAAAAAACTTGCTATCAGTAAAAACAAGCAGAAAGTAAATTCTTCAATCTGATCAAGATTAAAAGCAACCTAAAAGAATTAACACAACTAATACAGGATCATTGAGAACTTTTTCACTGGAAGTAAGCCTAGACCAGGAGGGCACTACTATTTCTTTTCTTTTTTTTTTTTTTTTTTTTGACAGGCAGAGTGGACAGTGAGAGAGAGAGACAGAGAGAAAGGTCTTCCTTTGCCATTGGTTCACCCTCCAATGGCTGCCGCGGCTGGCGCGCTGCGGCCGGCGCACCGCGCTGATCCAAAAGGTAGCCAAGGAAATAAAACAGCAAAAAGGAAACACAATGTGTAAAGATCAATTTCTAAGGATAAAATGGTATATATAAATATATGTGTGTGTATATACACACATAATTATATAGGATGACACTTAAATACATAGATAATTCATAAAATCTAAAAATAAATACAACTGATACTCAAATTCAACAATATTACTGGAAAGATTAATGTATAAAATCCACTAATTACTAAGTACTAGCAAGAAACAAATAGAAAATAATATTAAAAGTCAAGAAGCAGAATAGGAAACAAATATGAACAGGAGAGAGGTAAAAAAAAAGGATTGAATTATGTAATGTGTGGAAACATTCTTAATATCAGTATTAAAAACCCCACAGAGATGAGTCAGAAATATGAAGAAAATGTAAAAGACCAAAGCCAATAAATAACCATTACTCTCTACCTCACCTTAAGCAGGTTACTGCAGCCTCCAGGTAGGATCCTCTAATGAAGACCCGTGGGGAGGCAGGAGGGTCCCAGCAGGTGGCAGGATCCCGCTGGTAAAAGGGTGCAGCCTAGAGGAGGCCCTTGGCCCCTGAACCCAGGCCTCACCTCTCTACCATCTGGAGCAGCCTGGAGTTTCCTGTCCCTGCTGTAAAGATGCTGATTTGTTGAGTCCTCTGTGTCCTGCGTGCTGACGGCTATGTGAGCTGTCCAATCTGGCGCGGTGGAGTCACTGCCACGTAATCACACCATAGAGTTCCAGATTCCTGGAGGAGAGAGGTCCAAGGAGGGGCCTCTGCCACTTGGAGACTCAGGAGCTAGTGCAGCATCCGCTGTTCTCTGACCTTTTCCACCCAATACAGCCCATCTCATATGCCTGGCAATGGTGTGTGGGGCCAGGTGCCCAGAGTGGGGGAAGGGGAAGCTGGTGGTACCTGCTGGCAGGATGCAGGCTCCTAGAGGTCGTCTCTGGAACCTGTGGGTCCGATCTCAATGTCCCCACAGCACACTCCTGGGTTCCTTGTGGTCTAGAAGATGTGGTCTGCCCTGGTAGGCCCCTTCCCTGTTCAAAGAGATGTCTCAGCCTCAGAGCCCTCTGTGAGGAGCTGTTTCATGGCAGCCCCACGTCTCCCTCAATCGGGCAGTGGGGACAAGATGTAACCAGGGAGATACAGTGCTTGTGTATGGTGTACATGCAGGTGAGGAGTTGTCGTTTCCAGGATTGTCAGTTCCTCCTTGATTTGCATGTGGGAAGCAGGGTCTCAGTTTCTAGGACCCGACCTTCCTGCATAGCTTTCCAGGAAATACCCCATTAGTGTAAATATGTGGTTTTACTAAGTAGAAACATTGTAGGGGGGCCAGGGCTGTGGTGTAGCGCATAAGCCACACCTGCAGTGCTGGCATCCATATGGGCGGTGGTTTGAGTTCTGCTACTCCACTTCTGATCCAGCTCTCTGCTACGGTCTGGGAAAGCAGAAGATGGCCCAAGTCCTTGGGTCCCTGCACACATGTGGGAGACCCTGCCTCTTGGCTTTGGATCAGCTCAGTTCTGGCCATTGCAGTCATTTGGGGAGTGAATCAGAGGTTGGGAGATCTCTTTCTGGCTCTACCTCTCTCTGTAACTCTTTCAATAAAATAAATATTTAAAAAAAATAGAATTTCACACATTTCTCTTAGTATCTTGGTAAAAGCTATAATATCTACCAAAAATAGATTCTATTTTCCCCCTGAAACCTTTGATTTAAGGAATATAAACTACATACATTTCATAATTACAACTTTAGGAACATGGTGATTCTTCCTACCATAACCACCCTCCCTCCTGCACTCCGTACCCTCTTCCTTCCCCTTCTTCTATTGATGTGGAATACCTAGGGTGAACATTTATAATACCTAGGGTGAACATTTAACCTGCTTGGCCCTAGCTGGTTCCTGTTTATACACTTCAACTCTGTGTAATTATTAATATGCCCTTTTTATGATCAAACTTGTGTCAGAACAACAAATTATATATTCACCTAATAGTGAAAGTTATGAAATACATTCCAATTTCCTTGTCTCCTCTATTAGGCAGTTCTTGGAGGGTAGAAATATTATTTAATTTTTATATAATTTATTCATTCAACCAAAAGACTGACTCTGTCAAGATGCTGAGTTTTAGTGTCAAAGCAAATACGTTTCTTGCCCCCATGAAGTTTACAGTCTGGCAAGAAAGAGCAATCTACCCAAAGAATATTGTAACATAGTAAATATTGGTGTGAAGTCAGTGGATAAAGATTTAAGCATTCTTAATCCAGCACCAACTCTAATCCCATGATCTCTAATTGAGAGAAGTAATCAGAAACATAGAACTCCATGTTACCCAGTTATCTCTTTAAATTTCTGCTTAAAAAATAAAACGTACCAAAAAACACACAAATACCTAGGACTGCATAATATTTATATGCTATCTTGATATTAAAAATAAGAAAAAATAACCATCAAATAATAGCAACTTTGAATCTCCTTTTTTTTCTAGAAAAGTTGTAATCCTACATGCTTCTCTATAGTGTAAATTATTGTTCTGGGTACTCTTCCTCTCTTTCACATTTTTTTCCCTATGACAAATCTGAGATTTTAGAAACTGAGCCACAAGACAAAAGAAAGATTTCTTTTAAAACCAGTATTATATTTTGATTTGCTTTTTATAAAAGATTTATTTATTTATTTGAAAGTCAGAGTTATAGAGTAGGAAAAGCAAAGAGAAAGAAAAATACAGAGAAAGAGAGAGAGAGATCTTCCATCTTTTGGTTCCCTCCCAAATTGGCTGGAAGGGCTGGAGCTTTACCCATATGATGCCAGGAGCCAGGAGCTTCTTCCAGGTCTCCCACACTGGTGCAAGGTTCCAAGGATGTGGGCATCTTTCACCACTTTTCCAGGCCATAGCAGAGAGCCAGATCGGAAGTAGAGCATCCAGGACTCAAACCAGCACCCAATATGGAATGCCGGCACTGCATGCAGTGGCTTTACCTGTTATGCCACAGCATTGGCCCCTTGATTGCTTTTTAGCTTAGACTTTTTAATGATATTACCATGGGCAATTTATAAACTCTTTCCACTCAGTTTTTGCTTTGTAAACTCCATAGAATACTGTCCCCAGAATTAATCTAAGGAATAAATTATATGATGCAAGGCATTTAACCCCTTAACCTGTCTCCCTGAATACTCAGCTATGTTAGCTCTGTGTCCCATTCCTTTGTCTGTCTCTGTACTTGGTGAATTAAAAGACTGTGTAAAGTGATTTGAAAAGAACTATAAGGGATCAGCACTGTGGCACTGCTGCCACTTGGGGAGTGAATCAGTGGATGGAAGACCTCACTCTCTACCTCTCCTTCTCTCTCTGTGTAACTCTGACGTCCAAATAAATAAATAAATAAATATTAAAGAACTATAAACATCAATAAAACATAAATAAAAACTGTAATCTCAAAAGTGGATGTTAAACCAGGCCTTCTACACCTCTGTTAAAAGCTACATTGTATTCATAGTCATCTATGATTCGGGAGAAGTTTCCAGGAACAAGGCAGTAAATAAGATTTTTCTGGATGAGACAGAGGTTATGAGGGAGCCAGGATTTGGGGTCAGTAGCGCAGTGGGTGTCACTCTTTAAGATTCTGATTCAGGAAAGGAAGAACAGCAACTGATCATTGAGATTTTGGGGTGGGAAGGACAGGAAGGAGGGACTTAATGAAAGCAAACACCCTCTGGTCATGGGCACCCAACCCAGCCTGTAGCCCTTGGGGAGGGCCAGTTGGTGTTTCTGGGATGCTGCAGCCTGGACTCCATTTCCCAGAGTCCCCAGGAGCTCCATGTAATCTGCCTTCTGAATGCCTGTGCGCATGCGAGTTCTAGTGCCCATCCGTGGGGCTCTGAGTTGGACCAGAGGGAGTTCATTCCCTGATCAGAGTCAGCCCTGGGGGCTGTGCTGCTCCTTCTCCCAGATTTACTGCATCTCCTGCTCTGCACGTGCTGTCCCAGGCAGTTTCCGAGCGCTGACCCTGAGCCTGCCTCCTGCTGCTTCTTCCCTCTTCATCATCCGCCTGTGGGTCCCACGTGCCAGGGACTCTTTCTGCCCCGCACTCCCCGCTTCACTCCCCGTGGGTCCAGAAGAAAGGGTACCTGCTCTCGGGACTTTCTGCAGCAGGTTTAGTGTACAGGAAGGGGTGGGGATGTGTGTGGGAGAAGGGTGGGTGCCAGGGTGGCTGGCAGCTCCCAGTGAGGCTCACTTACTTCTCAGCAATCATGGCAGCTTCCACCGAGGTCAGGGCTGGGACCCGGGCTGTTTTGTCTCCCACCTCTGCTTCCCAGGCTCCCAGTGCCCGGACTGTCCCCTGTGGAACATCACCGAAACTGCCCCTAAGGAGCTTTATTTAGTGGTTACAGGAGAGAGGGGTAGCATTCTGGGAACCTGCACACACAGGCAGCTGAGAGCACAGGGAACGAAGGTGGGAGACTCCTCTCTCCACAGTTAAATAAGCCTGACTCCCACTGCGGGTGGTCTCAGAATGCAGTGTGGCCGGCCTCCAGCTGTTTCCTGGGCTGGTTCCTGTGGGGTGGGGCTGGGTGGCCTTCAGCAGAGAGCCTGGGACAGCAGAGGGGTGGGAAAGAGGATCTGACTAGGATCTGCCCCACTGCTCTCATCCTGCACCTCATCTTCCTGGTGGGGCCCCCGCGGACACACGCAGGTGTGCCCTGCACGTTCGTCTTTTTCCCAGAGGGAGCAGTGTGAAGTGAGTGCAGTAGCTTTGGGATTGATCCTTCTCCCGTATTTAATTAACAGATTTTTCCAATCTGGAATTTGAAGCTGTTATGGAAACCTGGTATGGGAAAACTCCCTTCTTTCAAACAGGCACAGAGACAGTGGAGGATCCAAGGAGTTTATTAATGCCCCCGGCTCAGCTGGAATGATTTCCTGAGAATTGAGCAACAAATTTAAGTTTCTTAGAATGTGTATAGGATCATCAGCATCATACCTTAGCTGTTACAGCATTGATGGGTTTAAATGGCAGCCTACATGACTTAGGACCACATTTCCAAAGGTTGGTGGGTAAAAGAGATGCCAGGGACAGATTTATGACTGGAGTTTACAGAAGCAGAACTTAGGGCATCTTCCCTCCCTAGATGAGATTTCCAGTGGGCAGCTGTTTCATTAATTGTGAGCATCCACTTTTCAAGGTTTGTATTGGTTGGGGTCCACTTCTCTTTGTCTCAGGTTGTGGCTGTATTTCTTCTACAAGTCCATGGAATCATAGTTGATGATTTATTTGGCTGCTTTTCATTTTCTGTCTTCAGCTCTTCTTTCTTCTCCTGTTAGCAAGTCTGTCAACTGTTTTACCTGCCGCTGATCCCTTTGCAAAGTGAAAAGTGAACTAAAATTAATGCAAGTCTACTGTGGGTCAAGAACTGGAGCTGTTTTTAAAGATTTATTTAGTTTTTTGGAAGAGTTACACAGAGAGAGGAGAGGGTGAGAGAGAGAAGCCTTCCATCCAATGGTTCACTTCCCAGTTGGAAGCAGCAGCTGGAGCTGTGACAATCCAAAGTCAGGAGCCAGGAGCTTCTTTTGGGTTGGAGCTATTTTTTTTAAATAATTATTTATTGGCTGGCACTGCGGCTCACTAGGCTAATCCTCTGCCTGTGGTGCCAGCACCCCGGGTTCTAGTCCCGGTCGGGGTGCCAGATTCTGTCCTGGTTGCTCCTTTTCCAGTCCAGCTCTCTGCTGTGGCCCAGAAAGGCAGTGCAGGATGGCCCAGGTGCTTAGGCCCTGCACCCATGTAGGAGATCAGGAGGAAGCACCTGGCTCCTGGCTTCAGATTGGCTGTAGTGGCCATTTGGGGGTGAATCAACGGAAGGAAGACCTTTCTCTCTGTCTCTCTCACTAACTCTGCCTATCAAAAAAAATTATTTATTTGAAAGGCAGAGTTACAGAGTGGCAGAAGCAGAGGTAGATGGCCGGAGCTGTTTTGATCCAAAACCAGGAGCCAGGAGCTTTGTCCAGGTCTCATAGGTGGGTGCAGGAGATGAGCA